CTGTGAGAGAGAATGTGTGGCCAACGTCTGTGTGGAAGGCCAACATCCGGGCAAGCGTCAGGTCGGGGGTTCGAGGCAGGCGCCTCCCACCAGTTGAAGGCCCCGTTCTAAAACCTCCTCTTGGGAATGCAAGAAGAACCAGGCGACTGAACTGAACTTGCTCGGGAATCCGGATTGGAGAATGTCACGCGCGAGCGGGACGCACTCGTCGTGGTGGACGTCTGGGTGTTGCCGTCAGGACCTTTCTTGTTCGCCTGGACAAAGCCCGGTTGGTCTGAGAAACCCGCAGAGCAATTTTTGCACCAAAATTTGAAGACACGAGTTTGTGTGAATCAGTCACACACTCTGCACGGTCAGACACGAGTGTGTGGCCACTACCAACACATGTAGTTTTAAAACAATTAGTACCAACTCCTTGGTCGTCAGCCTAATTAATTGTCTTCAAAAACGTTCGTCGGACAACCTATGCGAGACGGTGTGCTGCAATCAACATCGAGAGGCGGCCCAGCGGCCTACTTCATGGTGCCGGCAGCAAGCAAAGTCTCTGGTTCATCCCGATCGACATCGGATAACGCTGTACCGGATAATACCGTGCCACGAAGTACTATAAACGCTGCAGCCCGGTGTACAGGACTTGGCCTTGGACTCGAACGGGGGACGCTACATGGCAAGTTGAGCTAGTCTGGAGTACACTCCATCTTGAATGCGGATGAGTTCATCATGTGTGCCCATTTCGACGACTTTGCTTCCATTTCCGTCGTTGAGTAGGACGACGATCTTATTGGCCTTCCTAATGGTGCTGAGTCTGTGAGCAATGACGATGGTAGTCCGGCCTCCTTGTTCGATGACCTGGTCTAGGGCAGCTTGCACGACGCGTTCCGATTCGGCGTCGAGGGCGCTGGTGGCTTCGTCCAAAATGAGGACCGATGGGTTTCGAACCAGGGCTCTGGCGATTGCGACTCGTTGCTTCTGCCCCCCGGACAGTTGCCCGCCTCTTTTACCAACATTTGTGTCGTATCTGTCTTCAAATTGCTCAATGAAATTATGAGCGTTGGCCATTTTTGCGGCGTTTTCGATGTCGGTTTGATCGACGTCTTCGCCAAAGCGTCCCAGAGCAATATTCTCTTTAACGCTGGTGGTGAACAAGACCGGTTCCTGTTGGACGAAGCCGATGCACCGTCGCCACGCCTGGACATTTAGTTGATCGATTGGCGTGTTGTCTACCCTAATTGTGCCGCTACCGGCTTCGCCTTTTAGGGGTTTCCCGACGGCGTTGAAATAGACGTCATTATCCAGGACGTAGAAACGCTGAATTAACTGAATCGCAGTGCTTTTTCCGCACCCAGAGGCGCCTACGAGTGCGACGGTTTCTCCGCTTTTGATTGAGAATGATACGCCGTTGTATACGGGCTGGTCAATGCGCATGGGGTATCGGAAGTGGATGCCTTCTAAGTCGATGGAGTCCTTGAGTGCCAGAATATGTTGTCCGCTTGCATCTCGGGAATCTACACGGGAAGATCTGTCCATGAGCTCGTACAGTCGTGAAGCCGCTTTCTTGGCCGCTCCGTAGTCTCCCGCAAACATGGCGTTCATTCCCAGAGACATGGCGGCCATCATCAACGACAGCGAACCGCGCATCATACCGGAGGTGTCCAACTCACCGTTGGAAACAAGACGGGCACCATACCACATGAGTACGGCTTGACATGCGAACTGGAGGAACTGGCTTAATCCCCAGGCAGCACCTGTGACTGCGCCCCGCTTGTATCCTTGAATCATCTCTTCATGCAACAACTTGCAGTAACGGTCCAACATTAGTTCCTGAAGAGAATATGCTTGTACTGTCTTAATGTTCTGCATAGACTCCAATAATATGTAAGCCGTCGTATCCACGTCCACTTCACCACGTGCAATGTCTTCCTCCGATAGCGAGCTGCTGTCTCCACTCATAGTCACCTGAGATTCTAACACTGCTCCTGGAGCCATGAACACGAATGTGGCGATGGCCACTCCTGCCAGCTTCGGACTTGCAATAAATCCAACAATGAGTGCGGCTGTCAACGCGGAAATGGTACTAATAATTATCACCATATTATTACACACATTCGTTGCAACCAACTTAGGATCTGCTGCTACAACGTCTGCCAGGTAAGCCCCTCCGGCCTTCTTGGTGTTGTCAAAGAAACCTATTTCTTGATGCAGAAATGACTCCACAACTCTCACTCGAAGCAACTCCGTAATATAGTATGAGTTCGATAACATACATCCTAAACGCATCAATGATGCCGTGCCAGCCAGAATACCAAACACCACCAACCATATCGCAAACTTACTTGCGTCGTCACGAATCTCCGACGGGTCCGTTTATAAAACGTGCCCATAAACTCACCAAACAATATCACGTACACGGCATAGCGCAACCGTCACACACCGCGCCCACCGCAGCACCTA